ATTCGAAGGAGGGGACACCGGAAATGCGGCGCGGGAAGGGTCGGGTACCAAGTGAGGTTTGCTGGACCGCGCGAACCCTTAGGACGCGGGAATAGCTCAGGGCAGTGGGTGGTGTCCCCGTCGTTGGCGCGCTCTTATATCAGGTTGCTCTTCGGGTCTTAAACTGTTCATCTGGAGTCTGTTTTTCTCTGACTGCCCTTCTGTGTCTCTGTCTCTGCCTATCTATATGTCAGTCTCTCTCCTTGTGTTTGTCTGTATCTCTGTCTCTGTGCCCCATATCTCTTTGTGTCACGGTCTCTGCCTGTCTTTTAAGTGTTTGTGCCCTTCTGTGTCTGTCTCCATGCTTGGCCCCTGTACGTATGTGCCACTGTGTCTCCATCTCCTGAGTCTCTGTATCTCGGTCTCTCCTCGGAAGGGTCTCGGGAACTGGGCCGACGCGCCCGCATCAGGACAGGCCCCCATCCCCAGCCCTGCTGCTGGCGCCGAAACTCGGGCTCAAAGCGCCCGCCGCGCCCTGCGGTTCTCCCGGCTCGGGAGGCCCGCGCTCGCCGGCAGTGTGAGAGGAATGAATGGCGGCGTCGCGGGGGGCGCCCTGGCTGCAGGTAACGCGGGGAAGCCCGGAGCGCCTGAGGACGCGGCGCGCGCCGGAGTGTGTCGCGAAGTACAGGGGGAGGGACAGAGGGCGCCCCGCGCTCTCGTTGCGGGGGATCAGGTGACAGTTCTCGCCGCACCGACGGGAACACGCCCTCTTCTTCCCTCCCTCCCTCCCCGCCTCCCCGGCTGGCCGTCAGCAGCGGCGTCACCCGCTCTCTAGCTCGCAGGGGCTCCGGCGCAATCACTGGCCTTGGGGGAGGAGGGTGTCTCACATTCGGCGACAGTGACGACAGTGCTAATAAGGGTAATAATCATCCCGTACATTCAGTCCATACCTGAGGTGGAGGAGTCTCCACTGTCCCTGAAGCGCTTTACCTCCTTCCCTCTAAATCACCCAGCTAGTGAGGCTGCCTGGTGCTGGGTCTCCTTCCTCCAACAGCTCCCCACCAAGTGTTAGTCCCAGGGACACAGAGGCAAATGCAACGGTGGCTGCCCTCAGGGACCAGGATTGAGGGGGAGGGGGTAGTGCCAAGAGGATACTTCTGTGCAAGCCACAAGGCCCCGGACCTGGGGTCCCATCCCTGTCAAGCCCTCCTCTGCTGTCTCTGGGATGAGGGCCAAGGTTGGAGGTGGAGGCCCCAGTGGAGTGAGAGGAGCCAGGAGACCTGCAAGAACAAGAGAGGCTGGAGCTCAGGGTCACTAGGAGAGAGTCCAGAAAATTCCACCCCCACTGGAGGTTGTCCAGCAATGGGTTTCAATCCTGGTTCTGCCACTTTCTGTGTGACCTTGAACTAAAGGCCCCATGATTAGAGTTTTAAAATTTAATTCATTTGTACTTGTAATGTTTTAGGAAAATATGGAAAAATCACACAAAACTTTCAATATATATCCTTCCTTTCTTTTCCTCATGCATTTGTATAATATGCATACCTCTCTGAGCCTCCATGTTCTGGTCTGAAGCATAGAGACGATAGAACCTACATTAAGGGCAGTTTGGTAGATGAAATTGTCCTGAGGTGAGTTGTCTCAGGAAGTAATGAGCTGCCCCCCACTAAAAGCACTAAAGGGGCTATGAGGGTTCTTGCCAAGGATGAGATGAGAACACTGGGTGGGGGATTGAAACAATTCTCTTTTCGCCTCCCCAAATGAGGGAGATTCGAGGAATAACAATTTAACTTGGAATTCATTTGGTTAGCTCCTTCATAAATAATCTTATTCCTGTCCCTGCTGTGCATGCTGTATCATGATTAAAGCAAAAGACCTAAGTGCAAAATTGTAATGATATAGCAATATATGTTTCAGCTACGTTGTAAAAGTTTGGAGGGAGTTCTTTAAATTGTGATCCTCTACTTAAAATTCTGATGTTCTGCATCCCTGCCCACAAGACAAAAATTCATTTTCACAGCTAAAATGAAATAAAGTTTGGAGTTTTGTGACAGTGCATTGAAATTTCTCAATTCAAAGTCCCTCAAAACCTAGTGGACTTGATGCATATGTTCTAAACAGAATGATATGCTTTTTGACAATTGAGTATTAATGGTACTTTTACTCAAGTGGAAACTGTGGGGCTGTGTAGTGGTTTTTTTTTTTTTTCCTTTTGTGAGGAGATCAGCCCTGTGCTAACATCTGCCATTCCTCCTCTTTTTTTGCTGAGGAAGACTGGCCCTGGACTAACATCCATGCCCATCTTCCTCCACTTTATATGGGACGCCACCACAGCATGGCTTGACAAGCAGTGCGTGGGTGTGGGCCCGGGATCCCAACCCGCGAACCCCGGGTGCCAGAGCGGAGCTTGCACCACCGGGCTGGCCCCTGTGTAGTGGTTTGAATAGGGTCCCCCCTAAAATTCATGTCCACCTGGAACCTCAGAATGGGACCTTATTTGGAAATAGGGTCTTTGCAGATGTAATTAGTTAAATTAAGATGAGGTCATACTGGAGCAGGTTGGGCCCTAAATCCAACCACTGGTGTCTTTACAAGAAGAGGACAGAAGCACAAAGACACATACACACAGGGGAGAAGGCCATGTGAGGAGCAGAAATAGGAGTGATGCGGCTACAAGCCAAGGAACACCAAGGATTGCTGGGAGCCATAAGAAATTGGAAGAGGCAAGGCAAGATTCTTCCCCAGAGCCTTTGGAGGGAGTATGGCCCTGCCAACACCTTGATTTGGGGCTTCTCACCTCCAGAACTATGAGAGAATAAGTTTCTGTTGTTTTAAGCCACCCAGTTGTTTTTTTTTTTTATAATTTTCCCCCCCCAAAGCCCCAGTAGATAGTTGTACGTCATAGCGGCACATCCCTCTAGTTGCTGTATGTGGGACGCGGCCTCAGCATGGCCGGAGAAGCGGTGCGTCGGTGCGCGCCCGGGAGCGAACCCGGGCCGCCAGCAGCGGAGCGCACGCGCCCAACCGCCAAGCCACGGGGCCGGCCCTTAAGTCACCCAGTTTGTAGTAATCTGTTACAGCAGTCCTAGGAAACAAATACAACTTGTTACAAATATTTTTGGGTCATCTTGCTACATCTCTCATAACCATCTTTCTCCTTCCTTAAACTTTCTCTGGGGGCCCTTGGCTCTCACCCTGTCCACTCAAAGGAAGCTCACATCATGTGGGTATTTCTGGGACTCATTCTATTTAGCAGGGCTGATAACTCACAAAAAACGATAAGGCAGATCTGTGTGGTAAGTTCTCCCAGGCCTGCCAAAATGTCACCAAATAACAAGTGTAGAGTATGAGTTCATATATGTGAAAAAAGTATACATACACACATATGCATACACACTTACATATGCACACACACATACTATGTGTTTAGGTGTGTAAATGCATATAAAAGAAAGATCTGGAAGGATACATACCAAACTGCTAATAATGGTTATCTCTGAGGATGGTACTGGGATTCTGGCAGAATGAATTTCATCTTTTGTTCTATATACTTCTGGAGTATATTACATTTGCAATAAAAAGTTTTTAATGATTAAAAAAAAAGGTTTAAAATCAATGATACGGTCCACTTACCAAACATCACACTCAGGCCCCCGACAAATCAGTTGGCTTAGAAAGGAGAATAGTAGTTAAGAGCATGGAGTTTAGATTCAAATCAAGGATCTGCCTCCTACCTGATATGTGACTTAGAGTATGTTATTAGGTTTCCCTGTCTTAGGTTCCTCATCTGTAAAATAGAGGCAATTATACTAGTAGAATCTATCTTATTGGGTCATTGCAAGGATTAAATAAATTAATATACTTAAAGGGCTTAGGTAAGTACTGGACAATAGAATTGTTAGCTATTATTATACAGGAAAGCATAAAGAAGAAGTTAAAAGTAATCTCATCATTAGATATAGTCATATTAACATTTTTTGCATGTCCTTCCAATCTCTTTTTTTTTCTCATGCTTTTATAATTTTGTGCTTCACAGAAATGAGATTTTGTAACCCTTTTTCTCCCCCACTTAACTCTGTATGGAGAACATCTCCCCAGAGCATTAACTCTTCTTTTCCATCATTTGTAAATATTGCATTGTATCCCACTGTATGGATGTTCGATTTATTCAACAAGTCCTCTACACTTGAACATTGAATTCCCCCTACTCTTTGTTGTTGTTGTTGTTGTTGTTGTTGTTAGAGACAGTGCTGTGATGAACAAATGTTGTAGGAAAAAAATGGCCCCAATTTTTTGTAGCTCCTCCAATCTAGAATTAGAGTCTGTTTCTCCATCTCTGAATCTGGGCTTGACCATCTGACTTGCTTTGCCCAGTAGGGACATTAGTAGATGTGATGCAAGCACAGGCTTGAAAAGTGTTTATGTACTGGGGCTTGCCCTGTTTTTTGTTGCTGGGAATCCTGAGACCACCATATGAAGAAGCCTGGGCTAGCCTACTGGAGGAGAGACCACATAGAGACAGGGCCCAGTCCTCCCAGCTGAGGCCCAAACATGTAAATGAGGCCATTCAGCTAGACCATTCAGCTC